TATCTATAGTAGCAGCTCCCCAGCACTTGAATTACTCAGTCAGTCTCGACGGGTGAATTTAGCGTTTATTTTATATGACGAAGATCCTCATCAGTCACCGTGAAAACTAAAACATGAACAAATATTAGAATACAAAAAACAACAACTTAAAAACAACAAAACAAAAAGTGCCTCCCGGCTTTTTAAATGGGGTAAAAAAAAACAAAAAAAAAAAGCGCTGAATGTTGGAAACTGTAAATCATATCTTAGATTATGTTTACATTTGATCACTGCTGCACTTTAGAAATGGAAATGTCTTCAGAGCTAGAACTAGACATCTTCCAGGCATGTGAGGAAAACTAGCAGCAGTTCAGCGGACAGGATGGATGAACGGTAGCCGGCGCACGCTGATTACATCATACACGCGCCGCTTCGCCTTTAAAAGATATAAATATAAAAATCTAACTGTGGATGTCTGGGGGACAGTGATTGGCCTCCATGTCATGAGTCAGTTTAGTTTGTGCCTTCAAGTCGTTGCCCATAGGAAGACGTTACTGGATATAACCTAACGGAATATCTTCAGAACGGCTCCAAATGACACTAAACTCATATGGGAGAGTAGAACGTGATGGAATAACGGAAAATCAAGGGACCAATGTAAAAAAAAAACGGTGTTCCCCTTTAAGAGCAGATGGAAAGATGTGCAAACTAGTGATGGGTCCATCAACCCCGATGCTTGGAGCCCATAGAGCTAAACGCTGCATCGGTGAGCGTGTCATTTCCAGACAATAATCTGACCGATCCAGGTGCTGTCTCCAACTGACTCACTCATTAAACTGGGTTTTAAAATGTTTCTGTCACCATGATGCATCTGCTAAAAATAATGTCTGATCTTATGCGGTTTATCATTAAAATGATCCAGTATTTTGGAGCCTAAAAGGAACAGGAACGTTTCAGTCGTTGAGTTTTTATTTTAATTTTCTCGTTGTGTCATCCTTTTCCTCTCAGTTATCACTCAACTTATCTGAATTAAAGTTAATTTTAAATCGACTCTTAGTTTATTTACTGTTTTTAATGCACTCACTGTTTTAAAAATATTATTTAGAATCCTAGTTCACAAGCATCCTCATTCACTTTTCCCACTAAATTTTCACGTTATATGTTTACATTATTTATTCGCTGCATCTAAAAATATCAAAGATATTTTCAATTTAAATATAGATATGAAATAATAAATATAACCAACAATAATTTCAATAATATCATTCTTCTAGGTCATCAAATCAATTCAGTTCAGTCTGTCCAATCAGCTGCCTGCAGTGTCTTTAAATGTCCAGCAGGTGTCAGTATTCTGCCAGACAGAATCAACAGTTTGGCTTCTTGGTGCCTCATTAACCATAACTAGTGAAAACTTTAACAGTGTATAAGTTGGACTAAATGTTTACTTTATTTGGGGATGAGTGAAACATGCACAACAAAATACTTTAATGTCGCTAATTATTCGTGTAAATCTATATTGATGTGGGATGGGGGCCCTGGGTTGGGGGTCCAGGACTGGGGGCCCAGCTGCACACCTGTTGTACTAACAAAAAAAATGTCCACTTACTGAGCTCTCTGCCTCCTCCAGCTCTGGTGTTGATGCTGCTGGTCCAGGAGGCTCCAATAGGGGCCCCCAGGGGTCCTCTGTCTCAAGCTTCATCATGTCTGACGTCATCATCATCATCGCTTTCCTTGCTTTCATCCTTTAAATCCTTGTTTGCGACCTTCCCATATCCCAGCAGGTCATTTCAGCCAAATAGCCTTCATGTTTTCTCTACTGTCTAAAAGTCAAACCTTCCTCTGAAAATGAAAGTTTATCAACCAAACAGACGCGATGCTGCAGAGTCTGATGCCTCCCTGTCCTCCTCCCTGTCCTCCTCCCTGTCCTCAGGGGGAGGAGGAGGTGTCCACAGATGATGCTCTTCCCCACGGGGTCCACTCACAGTGGGCTCCTCTTGCATTATTAAACATTATTTGAAAGCTTTCCTCTCTAAAGCTCCGAGCTTAGCTTCTTTAGCTAAACAGTAACGTTGCTGATTATATTCTGTAAATGTGTCAGATATCATCCGCATAATGTTTAATGGCTGCCCCCTCTGGAGGGAGAAAAGCAGAGGAGTAAACTAAACTCGTTTCACACAAATTTATCAACATTTTGCTGTCGGAACTTAGCCTGTCAAGCTAACGTGGCTACTTCCGGTCACGTCCTCCTCATTGACCAATCAGTGACCATGTTCCTCTTCTTCTTGTGATCTTTTATGGCGGCTGGTAAACTTGTTCATTACCGCCACCAACTGATAAGGAGTTAAACAAGGAAACAGGAAACAA